GAGAAGGAGGGGACATTTAGAGGTAGGTTTCTCTATGTAGCTCTGGATGTCTTGGAACTACCTCTGTAGACCAGGTTGGCCTCAAACTCACAGAGATCCACCTGCCTCTGCCTCTGAGTGCTGGGATTAAAGGCGTGCGCCAACACCTACTGATGAAAATTTCATCTTAAAGCACAAGCAGGAGGCAGAGAAAGCTAACTTGAAACCTCAATGCTGGCCCCTAGTGATACACCTCCTCCAAGACCACACCTCCTAATCCTTTCCAAACAGTTCCACCAACTGCAGACCAAGCATTCAAATCTATGAGTCTGGGAGCCATTCTCATTCAAACCACCACAGCTTGCTAAAATTATTTTTTAGAATATAAAATAAGAAAATGGTACCAAGTGGTGGTGGTGCACACCTATGACGCCAGCACTTGGGAGGCAGAGGCAGGCAGATCTCTGTGAGTTTGAGCCTGGTCTATAGAGCAAATTCCAGGGCAGCCAGGGTGGTTATACAGAGAAACCTTGCCTCAAAAAGAAGATATAAACAAACAACAAGAATATGGATCCTTTTTTTTTTTGAGTTTATTATTCTGACCATCTTTTCTAGAGAGGCAATACGAAGCATTGGCTTTTTCTTTCTAGGTAGTAGAAAGTTAATAAAATCGGTTTCTGCCTCTTGCCAATCAGCATCAGAAAAAAAAAAAAATAGGCAAATTCACACTTTAAATATACCATTTCAGCTAAATAGAAAAATCCAAAGGAAAAACAGAAACTCCCACAAGGCAGTTAAATTACCCAATTTACTTTATTCCCCTGCCATGTCAACTGCTGTTTAGGCTTAATTATTTGCTCCTACTTCATAGCACTCCAATATAGGTGTCGGCACCCTCTCTGCAGGTCTCTTCAGTTACATCTCTATAAAGAAATAGGGGTGAGACTTCCTGGGTTTCTGTGAGAATTAAAAGATTTATAGATTAGCATCTTCCAAATTAGCAGGCTTAGACACGTGATACATGTTCAGCTCTGTCCTGATCCCCAGTGAAAGTAATTAACAAGAAGGGTAACGGCAATATGTTTTTCCCCCTAAGAGTCTGGCACCTCCCTTGGGAAAGCAGGCCTCACACTGGCAATGCTGACAGAACCAAGTGTTTCAAGATCCCTTAATCCAAATAGCTGCTGGTCAAATTCTCCACGGCGACTACTTATCAGAGGGCACCACAGAGCAGAGTGGTGGGTGGCTCCCTCACATATTAATCCTCATGGCAAAAGACATAATGGGGTTTTAAGAAGACTCACATCACCCATTTACTGTAATCTAGATGTCCCTCAGTGTAGACCAACTGGATATTAACACAGAGCCTAGCAAGTGTGCACCCAGTAGGAGCTCAATAAATCCTTATTTTTAAAAGGGGATGGAACTGGGGGAATGGCTCAACAGTCAGAATACTTGCTTGCAACCTTGAGGACCAAAGTTCAGATCCCCAGAAACCCACATAAACATTGGATGGGCATGGTAGCCTGCCTGTAATTCTAGCCTTGGAAGGCTAAAAGAGGGGACCCCCAGAGGAAGACTAGTCACATTGGCAAGTTCTAGGCTTCACTGAGAGACCCTGCCTCAATGAATAAGGTGGAAAAGCTATCAAGATGATTCCTGACATCAACCTTGGGCCCCCAACCTGCATGTACACCTACCTACACATGTGTATACACATGCAAAAACATGCCTACACATATACATGCACACTACAAACATAAAAACTGAAATAAGTCAACCAATCCTTATTAAATAAACAAGTGAATAAGTCTGGAACACAGAAAGTATTCAGGGCTAGAGAGATGACTCAGCCTTAGGTTAGGATTACAACCAAAAATATAAGAAAGTATTCAATAAATATTTGTTGAATAAATAGAAATTGCCAAGAAATGTCCTAAGTATCAGGAAAGGGAGATGTAATATTTATTATGGACCTATGTATAACACATTATGAGCCATTAAGAGATAAAATAAGCCGGATGATGATGGTGCACACCTTTGATGCTAGCACTCGAGAGGCAGAGACAGGCGGATATCTATGAGTTCAAGGTCAGCCTGGTCGACTGAGCGAGTTTCAAGACAGCCTCCGAAGCCACAGAGAAACCCAGTCTTGCAAACCCAAAAGAAAAGAGAGAGAGAGATAAAATAATACAATTGGCTCTGGGGTCAGAGACTGTCCAAATCCCAATGCCATCAGTCACATAAAGAAGGCCTTAGCCAAGTCTCTCACTATCAACCAAATAGGGATCAGCTTCCCCTTTTGGTATAAAAGGATAATACCTACTTAGCCTGCACGGCTCTTTCATTAAATAGAAAAAGAATATGAAGAGAAACTGCCTAGCACAAAGCTTGGCATTTGGAAGACTCAGTATAGAAAAATTATAAGAATATAGGGATATAGCTCAGTTAGTATTGTGCTTGCCTAGCATGCACAAAACCCTGAGTGCTGCATAAAACTATGTGTGGTAGTGCACACCAATGATCTCAATACTCGGGAAGTAAAGGCAGGAGGATCAGAAGTTCAAGGTCATCCTCAGCTACACATCAAGCTCAAAATCAACCTGTGGTACATGAAACTCTGTCTAAATAAAGAGGCCAGGTGTGGTAGTGCACACCTTTAATCCCAGGCCTTAAGAGACAGAGGCAGGGGGCTGGAGAAAAGGCTCAGCGGTTAAGAGCACTGACTGCTCTTCCAGAGGTCCTGAGTTCAATTCCCAGCAACCACATGTTGGGTCACAACCATCCGTTATGAGATCTGGTTCCCTCTTCTGGTGTGCAGATATACATGGAAGCAGAATGTTGTATACATAATAAATAAATAAAATCTTTAAAAAAAGAGAGAGAGAGAGAAAGAGAGAGAGACAGGCAGGAAGGTCTCTGTGAGTCTGAGGCCTGCCTGGTCTACATGAGTTCCAGGACAACCAAGGTTACATATGAGGCCCTACCTTTAAAAAGGTGGGGTGCTGGGGGTAGGAGTGGCCTAAGAGATGGCCCAGTGGTTAAAAGCACTAGTTCCTCTTCTTCCAGATATAGATTAGATTCCCAGAACCCACATGAAGGTTCAAAACTGTTTGTAACTCCGTGGTCTCTTCTGGCTTCTGCAGTCACCAGATATGCACATGGTACACACACAAACATACAGGTAAAACAACCATACACCTAACATTTTAAATGGGTGCCTTCAAGATGGCCCATAGAACAAAGATTCTTTCTACCATGGCTGCTGACCTGAGCTGGATGCTCAAACTCCACAGTAGAAGAGAATCAGCTCCCAAGGGTTATCCTCTAATCTCTATACACCCACACTCACTGTAATAAGATTTTTTTTTTAATTTAAAGAAAGACAGAAAAGAAAAACCATTAAAAAATATTCAGCCAATGCAAACTTTTTTGTTTTGTTTTATTTTGTTTTAGACAGGATTTCTCTGGCTGGACAGCCCTGGCTGTCCTGAAACTCCCTCTATAGATCAGGCTGGCCTTGAACTCAGAGATCCTCCTACCTCTGCCTCCCCAGCACTGGATTAAAAATAATAGACACCACTGGCCGGCCTTTTGTTAAATTAGTTTTTTGTTGTTTGTTTTGTTTTTGTTTTTGTTTTTTTGGTTTTTCAAAACATGGTTTCTCTGCATTGCTCTGTAGCCTGTCCTGGAACTCGCTCTGTAGTCCAGGCTAGCCTTGAACTCACAGAGATCCGCCTGCCTCTGTCTCCCGAGTTCTGGGATTAATGGCGTGCGTCACCACCACTTGGCCTGTATTAGTTTTTTTTTTTTTCCATTAATTTTGTGTGTATGTAGTGTGAGCACAAATGCCTTTCCATACATGTGGAGGTCAAGGAACAACTTCTGGGAGGTGGTTCTGTCCTTCCACCACATGGGTCCTGGAAATGGAACTCAGGTGTTCAGGCCTGTTGGCACAGTCACTTCATGAGACATTTCCATAGTATTTTTAAAGATATACATTTTATTATGTTTATTTATTTACTGTATATGGGTATGCCATGGGTTGTGTATGAAGGTAAGAGGAGTTGTATCTCTCTTTCTGATATGTGGGTCCTGGGGATTGAACTCAGATTGGCAGCCTTAGCAGGAAGTACCTTTACCAGCTGAGCCACCTTGCAGGCCCCCAAGGTTAACAATCTGAGGCTTGCCATATGCCTGTCACTGTGTCACATGTCTTAAACATGTAGCCTAATGCCAGGTGGTGGTGGCACATGTCTTTAATCCCAGCACTCAGGAGACAGAGGCAGGTGGGATCTGTGAATTTGAAGCCAGCCGGTCTACAGAGTGAGGTCCAGGACAGCCAGGGCTATACAGAAAAACCCTGTCTCTGTGGGGGGAAAAACAAAACAAAAAAACAAGCATGTGGCCTCAAAATTCTCAAGCCAGTGCCGTAGTATAATGACATCCCTTCTACAGGTAAGAAAACTGATGTGTAAAGAGTGATGTCAGGCATGGGCTTACACAGATGTCCGATCTATGCAATACACTTACTTTGTCAACAATATTTTCCACAGTAGCAACTACTTAGGTCGGGGTCTGAAACAGAGGCTCTATAAAGCAGGATTTCACAAATTCACCCCAAATATGTTACAAAGCGAGGTTGGTCCAAATCACTGGGGCTCAGAGAAGTTCTGCAACTTTCCCCGAAGTCACCAAGTGCAACCGACTGCCTCAGGGAGCGGACACCTCCCGGCTCGATACCTTGAACAAGGGAAGAATCCCTTCAGCATTTACTGCCTCAGAGTCCCAAGACCCATAAACCCGTGTGGAACCCTAAAACCCCGTACACGCCTACGTGTCCTGGCCAGTTATCAAAGCTCCTCTAGGCTCTCCTGACTCTGAGAGCTCCAGGTCAACACCACGTCCATCTCCCCATCCTGGGCAAAGTGATGGATGGGGCCGGCGTGAGATGAGGGGGGTAGGGGGAAGGAAGCCACGGAAGGCGCATGCCCAGGCAGCTCCATTCACGCACAGCTCACCTGAGAGTCCCGAAATTCCACCACCACGTTCTCGCTGCTCCAGCGTGCTGCCATCTCCTTACCCCCCGATCGTGGGGGGTGCCTGTCGGCGACCCCCGACTCCAAACCCTGAGACTTCCCAGGCTAGTAAGCCCCACAACGCCTGGCAATAAATTTAGCCACGCCCATTTCCCCGCCCTCCGCTTGACCGCAATTCATTGGTTAATCTAATGATAGATCCCGCCCCATGTGCTGTCTCCCCCAACGGCGGACTTCGTATGCCCCCCAAAAACAGGAACGCCCCCTTCATCCGTCATCAGTACGAGTCACCGGGGCACACGCGGCTGTTGACACGCCCCTTTGCCGTGAGCTCGGTCGGGAATTGTAGTTCAGGGTTCGCACAGCGTCGGTGACCCGGGAAGAGCCGGAGGTTAGAGGGCAGATGCCAGTTGTTCTGTCTTCTTGCTGGTTGGTTGATGTTCCTGTATTCTCCTACACACAGCCTATAAACAAAACCGACATCCGTACCACACCTCTTCCGATGCCTGTCATCAAGGGTTTGAGAAATCTAAGGGCACATTTTATTGTTTCGTGCTGTTCCACCGCGCCTCTTAAGTGTTTAGAAGCTCCTGAGGGTCTCCGCGACACTTTGGGGGTGGGGAGGCAAGTCCCCAAAGGTAAAAACAATTCCATAACCCTACTAACACGTTACTTTCACTTCTTCTCACCAGTGTGCGGTAGAGTTCTTTTTACTGTGTAGTACATAACCAATAGAGGGATGTACCCAGAGAGGTGACTTAAGCCGAATGTTAAATGACTTGCCACTCTTTTAGACAACATCGTTTTAGTTTGGGAAAGTGTAGCTCTAGGACTTTTGTTTGTTTGTTTGTTTTGTGGTTTTCTTCATTTAAGATGTGTAATTAAGCCGGCCGGTGGTGGTGCACTCCTTTAGTCTCAGCACTCGGGGAAGCAGAGGCAGGGGAAGCAGAGGCAGGCGAATCTCTGAGTTTGAGGCCAGCCTGGTTCTACAGAGCAGAGTTCCAGGGCAGTCAGGGTTGCACAGAGAAAAGATATGTAATTAGTGTTAATGAGAGTTGCTATTTAACTGTAATTTTTTTATTCACAACTTTAATTTCTAATAGTTACTCACTATCAAAACATTAATCCACACATATGTTTGTTGGAATCTTAAATAATTTTTGAGGGTGAAATAAAAAATAGTCAAGAGGTTTAGCATAAGAGGTAATAGTTGACTTCTTCAATCCCACTTTTGAAATCCAACGTTAACTGTCTTAGCATTGCTTTCTCAACTTTAGTGGAAATGCCTTGTCTTATTTAGCTGTTGTAAAATTCCAAGCACAGAGCCTGGCATGTTGCAAAGGCTCAAGTATAAACTATTATTCTTACTGTTACCAGTACTTCTTTTTTATTTTTATTTTATGTGCATTGGTGTTTTGCCTGCATGTCTTTCTGTATGAGGGTATCAGGTCTTGGAGTTACAGACAATTGCAAGCTGTTGTATGGTTGCTGGGAATTGATCCTGGGTCCTCTGGAAGAACAGCCAGTGCTCTTAACTCCTGAGCCATCTCTCTAGGCCTTATTACCAGTATTTCTGTGTGCAAGTCAATTGTATGAATGGAGAGAAGGCGTGGGCTTCTTACCCCTAGAATGCTGGTTTCAAAGAGAAGACAAACTTTTCTGTAGGTTAGGGTGACCATCATCTCATTGTTGTCTGCCTGGAACAGTCCAGGTTTTAGCACTATAATCAACAAAAACTCTTGCATCCCAGAAAACCCTTCAGCACCAAAAAACTGGAACAATTGGTCCCTACACAGTAGATGAATACTTGGCAGAATGAATTGCATATTATAATAGACTTGCAAGCAATTTGTCAGGATGGAATAACCTAAATTGGGGACCTGAAATGGTACCTTGAAGGTAACATTTGAGTGTTTCAGTATATTAAGATTTTGATAGGGCACACTATCAAAAAGAAAAGTACTTCATTAAGAATGTAAACAAAGTGCCTGGTAGTATGGGGCACACCTTTAATCCCAGCACTTGGGAAGCAGAGGCAGGCAGATCTCTGAGTTTATGCCAGCTTGGTCTACAGAGTGAATTCCAGGCCAGCCAGAGCTATAAAGAGAAACCCTGTCTTAGAAAACAAAACAAAAAAATAAAATAAAAGTAAGTGTGAACAAAGAACCCTTGAAGTGTGAAGAATGAATTGTGTTCCAAAGATGTAAGGCTGTCCCCCAGTTTAACTCTGTTGTGGCACTATACTTCAAAGTACACATTGCTTTTTTAATTCAGTAATTATTTATTTAATGTTTCCAAGCTTCAGAACAGGAGCCTGGTCCATTTTGTTGGGTCCTGCTTGTTACTGCATATACCGACTGCTCCATGAATATTTGCTCTGAATGAATGCAAGCAGCAGGTAGGTAGTCATGATCCCAGAGAACTTTGTAGGTTGGAAGGACCTTCTGTGCAACCAAAAGAAACTTCAAAACTGTTCAAGCCCTTTGTGTGTGATTCTTTTTTAAAATATTTATTTTATTTATTTTTATTTGTGTGTGTGTAGGAAGGAGTGTGTGTGTGTGTGTGTGTGTGTGTGTGTGTGTGTTGGAAGGAGTGTGTGTAGGTTTAGGGGGGGTGGGGGGTTGGTAATGTACAGATGAGTAAAGTTGCCAGATAAGAATGCCAGAAGAGAACATCAGATCCCCTGGAGCTAGAGTTACAGGTACTTGGTGATCCTCTTGGTATGAGTGCTTGGTATGATCCTCAGATCCTCTGCAAGAGCAGTATACCAATGAACCATCTCTCTATATCTGTGGAATTCTGTACGTCTAGGAGAAAACCAAGTATTTTTCTGAATTCTGTCTTTCCCATCCACCTATCATGTTTCTCTCACACATTGAAGCTCTTTAAAAGAATAAAAACAAAAACTACTAGAGAGAGATGGCTCAGTGATTAAGAACACTTGCTTTGAAATCATCAGGACCAGAATTTGGATCTCAGGAATATATAACAAATCTAGGCTCTAGTGTGCAACTGTAACACTAGATCCTAATTGGGTAGAGACAGGACAGGAGGATTACTGGAATTCATCCTAGCTGAGAAACCATGAGCTCTGGGTTTAGAGAGAGACCCTGCCTCAAAACAATAGATGGAAGAAACCTGATGCCTTCTTCTATATTACATAAAAACTTCTGGGGTGAATTGTAATGTCAAGTTCTAGTAATCCCAGGACTCAGGGTACACTATCAAAACAGGATCATTAGGGGGACGGAGAGGTGGGTCATTGGTTAAAGCACTTGCTGCTCTTTCAGGGGTCTGGAATTCATTTCCCAACACCCAAGTGGAGCTGCTCACAGCAGCATGTGACTTCAGCCCTAAGGGATCTGATGCCTTCCTCTGGCCTTAATGAGTACCTGCATATATGTGGCATACACACACATACACATAATAAAAAAAATCTTTTAAAAATTTCAGGCAAGGTGGCACATGACTTTAATCCCAGCACACAGGAAGCAGAGGCTAGTGGATCTCTGTGAGTTCAAGGTCAGCCTGGTCTACATACTGAGTTTTAGGACAGCCAGGGATACAGAATGAAATCCTGCCTCAAAAATAATAACAATAAATAAAATAAAAATGAAGATCACTTGAAATCAGGAGTTGTACCAGCCTCTATATCATAGTGAGACCTATCCCCAAACAAGAGACTATTCTAGTCTCTACTCCTACCTTCCTCTAATGGCCTTTCTTCTGTCACCCAGTGCCCTCCCATACCCAGTTCTCTATCACAAAGGACCAAGACTGCTCTGAAGATAAAGACCAGTCTAGCCTCAAAATAGTGATCCTCCTTCCTCAGCCTCCTAAGAACTGGGATTCTAGGCATGTTTCACCACACCCTGGGAAAATAAAATTTTGTATGTCTGTTCATGAAAGCACATCAGAATTAATGAGAATGTTAGTTAACATGATGTATTCTTGCTTGCCTATTAGCTGGAAGCAGTAAATAGTTTATAACTCTGTTGGTTGAGTGATTTCCAGTCAGGTATGGCTGATACTTAAGAGAGCATGACAGGGTGTAGGGGAACTTAAAGCCAGCAAAGGTAACGAACTAGTTAGGAAAGGCTCTGCTTGCATGTTTAAATTTGTTTTGGGGGATGGATAGAGATTAAGATATTAGAAAGCTCTGTCCATGTGTAGCTTAGTAATGTGCTGGATCACCCTTGTCTGAGCTTTTCTGCAGTACTTCCCCAACTCTCAGCTCCTTTGCTCACATTTCTCCAGATCTCCCACTCCTTCCTTTTTAAAAGTCAGGTTCCCCTGTAGACTAGGCTGGTCCAGAACTCACTGTAGCTCAAATGATTCTGATCTAATTCTCCTGCCTCCACCTCTCAAGTGCCAGGATAACAGGTTTGTGCTACCACGCCTGGCTTCCAGTTCTCAAATGCTGCACGTCTCGTGCTTTGAGCACAGAAAGTACTTTGTAACCGAGATCTTTGGTGCTCCCTTCCTCAATGCTTTCTTCCTTTCACTTAGAAAGAATTATGGAGACGAAGCATCTGTGTCTTCCCAATTGCCTCCTCGGGCCCTTCTTTAACATCTTCCACCCCCACTGTGTCCCACCCACAAAGTCATGTCATGACTCTGCCATCAAAGACTGAGGACTCTGAAGCAAAATCAAAGACTCTCTAGCTGCTTGCACATCTGAGAGTAAGGGTGAATATCCTGTCTGTGGCAGAGACTGGGGAACATTGGCTATCCTTGTCACCTAAACCCCAATGTACTGACCACACAACAGGGCTCTTACCTTCGTGTCTTTCCAGAAGGTCACTTAATTAGCCAAGCCAAAGAAAAGCAAGATACACAGGAAACCTAGAAATCCAGGACCTCAGCTGGCTTTTAGCAGCAGCTAGACATGAAATTTCAACACAGCTGTGTTTTTCTTTTTCACTGGGTGCTAGAGAGGTGGCTTAGTGGTTAAGAGCACACACTGCTCTTACACAGCATCCATATTTGGTTCTTAGCACCCAAGTGCCTTTGACCTTCCTTGACACCTGAACCCACAGACACCACACACACACACACACACACACACACACACACACAAAAAAAAAAAATAAGTACAAATGTAAAAAAAAAGTTAAAGGTAGATTGGTTCTGTAATTAGCTACTGTGAATAGAGCTGCAGTAAACACTGGTGTGCTGGTACCTATGTGACAGACTGACATGGAATTTTTTTGGTAAATAGTCAGGAGTGGTATAGCTGGATCACATGGTAGATCTATTTTTGGTGTTTTGAGGAACCGCAATACTGCGAATCTGATTTCCATACTGACTGGACTAGTTTACATTCCCACCAGCATTATATAAAACAATCCCTTCTCTTTCTAGTCTCCTGTTTCCTCTTCTGCAGGATGTGGAGGTAGCTCACTGCTCACCACCACCACCACTGAACCCTTTTACACCTGGAAACCCTGGACCCTTGCTCTGAGACCCACTAGTAATCTTCCTCTCTTTATCAATCAGCAAATATTTGAGGATGTGTTCACATGCTTAGCCTTCTGGCTTTGCGTATTTGGTTGCTTGTTTTTCTGCTCAAGTTTTCTCTTTTCCAGCAAAAGAGTAAAAACATAACAGAGCTCTGAGGGGTCAAGAGAATGTTTCTCAGTGGAAGACTTTTGTCTTTCCCAGTGGAAATGCTGGGGCTCCCTCAAAGCGGTGGGAGGCCCTCCCATCCTCTGACTCATCAAAACAGAGAGAAGTTTCCCATTGTGATCCAGGAGCTGGCCCTGACAATCTATCTCTTATTGTTTGAACTGTACAAGCCCCAGACTTCTTGCATGCTTCCTAAGATATTTGAAACAGGCTTTGCAGCAAAGTTGCCTGCGTTTTTACATTTGCAGTGGATTTTTGCAACACCTATTTTATCAGCTTTCTCCTGACTATTATAGAAGGTGGGCCAATCAATATTCATTAACCTTTCTGCATGAAACATTGCCATGAAGCAGCTCACTCATAAGCAGTAAGAACATAAAGATAAAACAGAAAAACGGAAGGTAGAAGTCAAGGGCCTGTAGCAATGGCTAGTGGTTAGGAGCTCTCATTGCTCTTCCAAGAGGACCCAGGTTTAGTTCCCACCAATCCATGCTAGGCAGCTCACAACTGCCTATAACTGTAGCTCCAGAGGATCCGACACCCTGTTCTGATCTACCCTGGCACCATCATATAAACATAAAATAAAATAAAAGTCTTTTCTTCTTTTTATGGGTAGAGGTCCAACTCAAAATAGGGACTCTGCTGTTATTTTAGGGGGTCACGGAATATTGCTAGGTTCTGAGACTCCATTTGTCTCTTGTCCCAACTCACAGCATCTGAACACATAGGAAAGGGTTTGCTGCCTTCCCCAGACCCATTAACCTTTTCCCTCCATGGTGCTAGGAATCCAGCCCAGTGCCCTGAGCTACACCAGTGCCTGACCACTGAGCTATACTTTCTCCCCACTTTTTTTTTTTTTTTTGAGGCAGGTTCTTGCTTAATTACCCATGCTACCCTTAAACTCATCCTGTAATCCAGGTAGGTCTTAAACTCCCAATTTGCCTATCTCAACCTCTCAAGTAGCTAGGACTGCAGTCATGTGTCACACTGAACTGTATGTGGGTGTAGTTGTGAATGTGTGTGTCTACATGTTCAGTGAGTACAAGCACACATGTATGGGAGTGCATGTGCACATACGCATTGGAGGCCAGAGGAGAGGTTACACCAAGTGTCATTTTCCACCACTCTCCACCTTATGTATTGAACTAGGTTCTCTCACTGGCACCCAGAGCTTGCCATTTTGGTTAGACTAGCTAGCCAGCTTGCTCTAGGGATCACCTGTCTCCACCTTCCATGTACTTGAATTGCAGGAGGTTGTATGCCTACCTGGCATTTACATGGGTACTGAGGATGCAAACTCTTCTTTCACACTTTCCTCATTGTGGCATGGCAAATGCCTTACCTATGGAGCCATCGCACCAGCCCCTCACACTGGACTCTTGATGCAACAAATGACAACATGGAACTCCTCTAAGACTTTAGGACTGGGTGTATGCCTGCTTGTTGCAAAGTCATGAATTACTGCCAAGTAAAGGGGAGACTCAACTCTTGAACCCCAGCTCCACATTGTAATATAACTTCCAAGAGAAAATTGTCATTTGGGTACATGTACACGGTAGTGACAAGGGCTGTGTCTGAGAAGGGCACCAAAGCTCAGCACAAGTATGTTCCAGAAAGAAGGGACTCCACTCAGCTGTTTGGGTGGCAAGCCTATGAGCAGCAGCCTTTTAATAAACATTAAGACATAATATAAAACTACAGGCCAAATGGCTCATTTGCAAAAAGAAATATAGCGTGAAGCAGTCCTAATCTTTGTCATTTTGTTTAAAAGCATACAGAGCAAACAAAACTGTCATCTGGAGATTTCATGATAAGCATATTCACTTTAAAACACAGAAGCTCAGTTCTATTCTTACTGGCTATGGGACCTTTTAGTGTACATGTGGCATGTATTCATCTATCTATCCACCTACATTTACATGGCACAGTGAGCATGGCAGTAAACACCCATCCATAACCTTGGCATTCAGAAGGCAGAGGTAGGAAGATCAAGAATTCAAATCTAGCCTAGGGGACTACACAGTGAGATTCTGTTTCATAAATAAAAACAAGGTGCTGGAGAGATATCTCAGTGGTTACGAGCACTCATTGCTCTATCAGAGGACCTGAGTTCAGTTCCCAGCCCCACACCATGGTGGTTCCCAGCCAGTTCCTGGAGATCTGACTCCCTCTTCTGACCTCTGTGGGCACAGCATGTATGTGGTGCAATTATATATATACACAGGCAAAACATTTACACATATAAATCTAAAAAAGTTTAAATAAAAAATTTACATGGCAGATTGACAAAAATACTAAAATGCATATTATGTGGACAATGTTTTTCACTATTCTGTAACTCATAATGCCCTGGCTGCCACTGTCTCTCTCCCAAGGGGACCCCACTATGCTGCTTCATGTAGCTCTCCAATTTACATATGTGGATATACATAAATATCTTTATGTATGTGCTGAAAGCACATAGATATTTAGTTGAGGAAGAGGGAACTTGTTTTAATTTAAAAGGGGATACGTTCAATTTTCTCAATTTCTTCAAGCTTTGGGATAGCTCCTCAAGGCATGGTTGGAGAAAAATACATGGAAAATTTACTTGAAAGCTGAGGATGACGAAGAACTTTGATCTTCTACTTTGCATGTGCTGAGATTATAGGTATACACTACCATGCCCAGTTTATCTAATACTAGGGATTGAACCCAGTACTCTGCGCATACTGGGTAAGTACTCTACCAACTGAGCTACATTCTCAGCCTCTCAACCCATCTCTCACATCTCCACTTAGAGTCTTTGCCCTTCTTCTGGTCACCTGTCTTTTAATCAGCGCTGTGCTTTCTATCTCATGACACATAGTCATTCATATAGCAAATGTTTCTGACAGTGCATGCCAAGTACTGTTCTAGAGTGATCTTTATTGCATCATCAAGGATAAACCTGTAATGCTAGCACTTGGGAAGTAGAATCAGGAAAATCAGAAGTTCTAGATCATCCTTGTTTCAACTCTCTCTTCTGAGATCCCCTTCTGGAGTGCTTAGGATTGAACCCAAAGCCCTGCATACACGTGCTAGGTGTGGAGGTTTGAATAGGTGTGGCCCCCATAGACTCCTGTGTTCAAGTGCTTAGTCCTTAAGGAGGCAGTGGCGCTATTAGGAGGTGTGGCCTTGTTGGAGGAAGTGCGTCACTGTGGAGGAGGGCTTGAGTCTCAGTTGCTTAAGCCCACGCTCAGTGGCACGTAGTACTTTTCATGCTATGTGATCAAGCATGAGGAGTCTCAGCATCTTCTCCAGTACCATGTCTGCCCGCATGCTGCCATACTTTCTGCCATGATGATAAGAGTTTTTTCTTTTATAAGAGTTGCCTTGGTCATGGTGACTCTTTGCAGCAATAGAAATCTTAACTAAGACACCAGGCAGGCACTCTACCACTGATCTAGGTCCTCAGTCCAGATATATAGTATTATAGTAAACTTTATGTAACATGAAACTGATCTTCACAAATGTGTGATTCAATGTTTTGTTTTGTTTTTGTATACTCACAAGGATATATTCTTGTGAGATATATATTCACAACTCTAATTCCAGAACATTTTCATCACTTCAAAAAGAAACCCACTAATAGTCACTCTTCATCCTTCCTTTCAGGCCCTAGTGACCCTAATCTACCTCGATGGATTAGTCTACTCTGGACATTTCATGTACATATGGTCATACGACCATACAATAATGCAGTTATTAAATGAATGACTTCTATCTACCATTGCGTTTTCAAGGTACAACATTCATTATTGTTGTAGCATCTACTGTATTCCTTTTTATGATAGAATATCAGTTCATTGTATAGACACCATTATTGCTTTAATCTGTTGATGAATATTTTGAGTTGTTTCCACTTTGGTTATTTCCAATAATGCTGCAGCCTGTTGTGGTGGTACAAGCCAGTAATCCTAGTACTTGGGAAGTAGAGGAATGAGCATCAGAAATTCAAGGTCATTCTTGTCTACACAGGGAATAAAGTGCTAGCCTGGGCTATGTAATACCTGGTCTCCAAAATACAAAACAAAACTAGGCCTGAAGAGATAGTTCAGTCAGTAAAGCACTTACCATACCTAGTAGGATCCCCACCGAAAAAGACAGGCACAACTGTGTGCATCTCTAATCCCAGTGCTGCAGAGGTAGGAATAGAAGGACCACTTGAGCTTACTTGCTAAGGAGTCTAGCCAATTAGTGAGCTTCTGGGTGGGTAAAGAACCTATTTCAACAAACAAGGCAGAGAAGTGATTGTGGCAGACATCCTATATCCACTTCTGGTTTCCAGATGCTTCTCCACACAAAAACAGACACACACACACACACACACACACACACACACACACACACACACACAAAACCAAGTAACGAGGCTATGCACATTCCTATATAAGTTCTTTTGTGGATGTTTGTTTCATTTCCTTAGAAATATACCTAAAAGCCAGGTGTAGTGGTACATACCTTTGATCCCAGCAGGAAGGCAGATGAATCTCTGAGTTCAAGGCCAGCCTAGTCTACATAAGTGGTTTTATGACAGCCAGACCTACCCAGACAATCCCTGTCATGAAAACCAAAAAAATAAAAAGGAAAAAATATATACTTAATAATGGAATGGCTAGGTCATATTGTATCTTTTTATTTTGTTTTTTGAGATAGGAACTTATTGTGTAGTTTTGGCTGACCTGAAATTCACTATGTAGACCAGACTGGACTTAAGCTCACAGTCAGCCTCCTGTCTCTGTCTCCCTAGTGCTGGGATTGAAGATGTGTGTCCATCATACCAAGAGCTAATTTTTTTTTTTTTAAGACAGGGTTTGTCTGTGTAGCACTGGCTGACCTGGAACTTGCTTTGTAGACCAGGCTGGTCTTGTACTCACAGAAATCCACCTGCCTCTGCCACCCAAGTGTTGAGACTAAAGGCATGTACCACCATGCCTGTTTTCCAGCTCTAATCTTTTTGAGGATCTGCTAAAGCAATCAACTAATGTTTCCAACAGGAAGGTTATGAGGGTCTGATCTCTCCTCTTCTTTCTCAGTAGCTGTTACCATCTTTCTTTGCGTATAGTCATTCAAGTGGGTGCAAAATGGTTGTTTTGAGGTTTATGAGAAAGGGAACTTCTCCTTTCTTGTTGATCCTATATCCTAGAATCTAGGAGAGTGCCTGGAACTTCTCAGATACTATTTTATTAAGTGATTGGGCATAGCTTAGATAGAGTACATATCCAGCATACATGAAGCCCTAGCTTCACTCTCCAGCATCTGAGTTGGGGGGATAACTATATATGTATACAAACACACACACACACACACACACACACACACACACACACACACACACACACATGTACAAAGCCACATGAAGTTTTCTTGAGCATTTGATGTAATGCAATGTAACAGTGCCTCAGACACCAAAGCAAGTGAATGTTCAGTAAATTAATTCCCTTCCCTCTTCTCTCCCAGAGAATCTGGTAAGATAGCCTGAACCTCATCTGCTGATATAGATGGTGCCTGTTCCAGTTGATTTGAAGACTTGCTTTTGCCATCCTAATATCTTGAAGTTGGTGGTGTCTCGCAGTCTCCGCTCAGTGTTCACAGATATGTAAATGTATTATTATTCTATAAAGACCAATTTGTCTTCCTGATCATTTAAGAATATTTTGAGGAGGGGATGGGGCTCTTGCTTGTGAGTGGAAAATTTTCTGTAACTTCTGATAAGATAAAAACCATACTGTAGAAATCAAAACTTTCATAGAATTATCAGAGACAACTGTGGAATCTACAAGGCCCTGAGATCAGAAGTGAAAAGACTTGGACACCTTTGAACAACTTGGTAGAAAAATCACTCTCATGAGCCAGACTCTATAGGTAAAGAATGTTCAGAATCTCCTAGTGAATTCATTTTCCTTTCACCCCATGTACAGGAATGATATATGATGAGCCTATGTAGTTTAAGAAGGTTCCTTTGTTACATGCACAACAAAAAGCCAAGTGATAAGAATATTCTGCCAAAATGGAATTGGAAATTTTCTTTCAGTCTTAATGGTACATAAAAAGTGGTTCAGCTTACAATTAATGTCATTGTAGAGTCAATGAACCATGACAAAATGCTTCTTGGTTTGTAACAAGAAATAAATAAAATGATGTGTGTGTAAACACCTGATACAGTAATCACAAAACACCTGCTAGTTGGATCTCATCTTAAGTTGGCACCTCGAGGGCTCTTAGAGGTTTGTTTTGTTTTGTTTTGTTTTTGGTTTTTTGTTTGTTTGTTTGTTCTTTCCAAACAAGATTTCTCTGTGTAGCTTTGGAAGCTGTCCTGGAACTTGCTCTGTAGATCAGGCTGGCCTTGAATTCATAGAGATCCCCCTGCCTCTGCCTCCTGAGTGCTGGGATTAAAAAGGCATGCTCCACAGCCCCAATATTTCTTGTACTAGTTTCTCTTATTAAACTCTCAACGTCTTTGTTCAGGGCTTTTTGTTCACCCCAAATACTCTATGCCTGAAAATAGCCATCTTCTTGTGGCCTTCCAGGCTAGCCACACTGGAAAAGAAGGTCTATTAGCCTATCTCTCTCCAAGTCCACCTTCCTCCACACTCCATTTTTGGAAGCACCTGGCATACTCTGACAAAGTGACAGAGGAAGTAAGTCTAGGGACTAGGTGATGCTCACATCCAGCCCTCAGCACTTGAAAAATTATTTGTTCAATGAATAAGCGATCATGAATATATGAGAAAGACTGGGACTGAACTGGAAAGGTGATTCTCTGTTGCAAAGTGAAATTTGGTCAACAAATATTTATTGAGTACTCACGGTGTCCTTGCCTTGTGGCTCTATGTCAAAATACATGGTAAACACAACAGGAATCGGCCTTGGACAAGGAGTTTCTAAAACCACTTTTTAGCTGCATTGTTCTATTTCCATGCTTTTTATCCGCCTATTGATTTTTCGGGATTACATTCTAGCCTAAAGAATCGACTTGTTTCCTTAGACCCAAATAGTTGGTTTCGATCTGTCAGCAAAACCTGGATTCCTATGTGCCTCCTAATAGCTAACCCCAAATGTTAAGACTCCTGATGTTTGGGTCCAAGCTAACTCCCCCCAAAATGTTAAACTTCCTGACGTTGGTTGGGGTCCTTGGATGGGAACCAGCAAACCACAGCACCATCCACCAGAGGGTGCTGTGAGGGCAGGTTTGTGGCGGGAGGGGAGCTCGCCCAATGACCCTCAAACCCAGGTAGACGGATTAGTTGGTTTTCTTTCTTTCTAGTTTCCTTCCCACCCACTAGAACCGTCGCCGCCCCTCCCCCACGCAAGGACTCTTCTTGAATATAGTGATTCGACTCTAGCCGTGCTTGTTCCGGAAGAAGTCTGGCCTCTGTCGCAGACACCCCGCGGCTGGAGCTCGCAGGTCCCCGGACCGCCAGGGGCGCAGGCGGCGGGTGGGTGGGGACCTCCAGGGCCG